GCGCGCCCGTTATCACGGGGCCCGCGACTAACGCTACCCTCCTGCGGCGCAGGGGGTCGCGAAAGAGGGACTCACGTGACAGGAAGAGATAACGGAAACCGGCAGATGGCCCCGCTACCAACGTGCTCCCGCCGCTGCGAAGGGCCGGCACTCGTGCCGTGAGCGTCATCGCTACCTGACGTGACTATTGTAAGGGACGCAGGATCCACTGCCGAGATTGAGTATCGAGAGTCCACGAGAGTTAAGAGTTGGAGAGCATTCGGTGAGACGAACGTCGCTACTTTTGTAAAGTCGCCAAGTTTCGCGAAACGAGAGGACCGTGCTAGAGTAAAGATTTCTTCAGCGTAGCGGCCGTGAGTGCCGTGTAAATAGAGTTGCAAATATTACTTGTTCCGCGAACTAGAGATTGCACTGCCCGCTCGATTGCGTTAATTTCAAGTCATTAAGATTGTCGCCTTTGCGTTCGCCTCGCCCGGCCGAGTCACCGCGTCGTGTATCGTATCATTGTAATTCGCGAGAGTGTCCGTCCTGCCGTTCCGTGTGTGTCGGATATTAGAGTCTCCGCGTATCGCGAATTGCATTCTGTGTCGAGAGCGTTTACCTTCCTCGTGTCGCGAGAAACGAGTTTCGTTGTAGACCTCGGGCCACGTGCCCTTGCACGCCGCGAACGCGTGAACCGCGTGTGCCCCCGCGCTGATCGCCGTTACCGCGTCCGCCGTAGGTCGGACGTCAGGATAATCTCGGGAAATTATTTCAACTTGTAATTCCAGGCGGGAGACGGAATCGAACGATAGCCGCTCATTGTAAAACGCCAACACAAAGCGATTGCAGACCCTCGGCCTCGTGCGAGAAGGGACTATTTGAGCGCCACGGAGTAACTCCGCAAGGCGTACCGCGGCTCCACGGCGACGCATCGCGTGATTATTTAAAGGAGCTCGTTCGGTTCTCGTCACCCCGGTTCGCTATCCGCTACACACCCGTGTCCCTTATTACGTCCGTGACTATCTGTAATTTGCATAGGCGTCCTGGCGTGGCGTTAGTCCGCCAAGGATCGGCACAGAATACGCGTTCCTCGGGGCTCTTTGCGCGCACCGTCCCGCGCGTCCCGCGAGTACCGCGCGAGGTACTCGCCTCTGTATTCACTCGCCCCGCGAGACCATTGAAAATACATGTTCTCTTGATTATATTAAATTCTGGAGCAATTATTTTCTTTCGTTGTCGCTCTCCTAAGCCTCCATCTAACGAACCGCCCCTCTACCATTGTCGGAGCTGGTTAGCCGGCCTTCCGCGCCGTCGTCGTTCGCCCGTCCGGACCTTTCGCGAAAATTTAAGTTACGTCAACCTATCGAGCTGTGCGTCGGGAATCGGAGATAATCTCCGATCGGGACACTGCTCAATCCGGACGTGCGAACTCACGACCGTATTGCCTCGCACCTACGCGTGCGGTCGCAGTATACAGGGTGATTCAGAACAACCCCTCGTCCTTGAAAAGACGTATTCTTGACTCAATTCTAAGACGATTTTTCCTTTATAAAAATTTTGTCCGAAGTTTAGTTTTCAAATTATAACGAGAAATAGTTAGCAAATTACGGGCCGCATACGGATGGTAGACAGGGGCGGCGCAACTTACTGTCCGCCGGCAGGCGGTACGCGGGACCGTCGCGACGATCAGCTGACTACACGCGCGCATAAACATGCGTTTACATTCTCTCTGTCTTTCTCTTTTTCACACACACACACGCACGCACGCACGCACGCACGCACGCACGCACGCACGCACGCACGCACGCACGCACGCACGCACGCACGCA